GAAACATAAAATGGACATAAACAAATAAATATTTGTTGCATAGTGTTTTGACTCTGGCTTGGTAGACTGTAAGCCAGGGTCATAACACAATGCCCTTGCATAATATCCTGAGGCTTCTATAACTTGGTACTGAAAAGGATACTAAAAGAATTATATACAAAGATGCAGCAGGGATAGACTCCACGCCCTGGTGATTTTGAATTGGATGACCAGAAAATAGATGGATGGATCGGTGTACGCTTGACCAGTATTGCTCAGTGATGGTGGTTGTGTATTGTCATCTGTGGGCCTAAAGGAGCTTCCAAGAGTTTTGTTTTGTTTTTTTTTTAATCTCCTAATCACATTATCAAGATTGTGTTGGAAAAATGCTGCAAACTTAAGGAACCAACTTTAAAAGAGTTTGTTTATGTCGTCTTATTTTAGTTATTTTTTTGTATGACCAGAGGAATTCCATCAGGTTTGGTATCAATTAATTAAAATTTTGCCGATCTCCTCTTTGCGAAATGTCTGTTCCTTGTGCAACTCTGGACCGCTTCACACGTTCCTGCAGATTTTAGATTTTTCTAGCCACTTACTCTTGTGCATTTCCAATTTCACCTCAATGAACATCTAGAGACTAACCCCTTAATGTCACGATTCCAGAATAATCACTGGTAATAAAAGCTCCAGGACTCCAGACTTGTTTCTTTTCTTGTTTTTCTTTTTTATTTGTTTTCCATGAATGAATGTGGAGGCCAAGCCTAAAGGTGGCACACAAGGTCAGGAACTGACCATGAGCATCATTATTTCTTCCAAATACAGAGTTGTGCACAGGGAATTCATCCCCCGAGGTCAGATTGTTAAAACAGGGTACAGCTGTAATGTCCTAAGGCATCTGGGAAGAGCACAACATGCGGTGTGGGCCATTGTTTACCATAGCAGCAGGCAATGAAAATACAAGAGCTTTTCGGCCTCGCCGAAACAATCTTTCCACGCCACCTGCTGTACTCACCAGATTAGGCTCCCTGCAAGTTTGTCCTCTTCCTCAATATGGCATTAAAGTTGAAGCGTTGCTGTCTTGTCACATTGGGTGAGATCCAGCAAGCTTCTCAAATGTGCAAGTGGTCAGGACAGGACTAAATAAGAATTATCTAAAAGTAGCAGTGGCACAGAGAACGGTAAAGGGATGGAAAACAAGACTACCTATTAAAAACAGATGCAGTTTTGATTTTTGTGATTTTACCTCATATGTTTTTGTTTTGTTTTAATGTCTCTTACGAGCCATTTAAATTTATGCAATTTAGGTAAGTTAAGTAAATACTTAAAGTTTTAAAATTTTTTATTATACATTAAAAGTATTTTACACACAGAATAGGAAACGAAGAACAAAATTAGTACAGAATGGCGCTTTTAGAGATTTTAGGTTGTTGATAAACACGTTGCTGTGGCGTAGTGTTAATGAAATACTGAAATGTCCAGTTAGATTAGTGTTTAAGAAATTAGTGTTTATTTCTTTATGCTTTGTTTCCAAGACTTTCTTGTAATGTTTGTAATTTTTTAAAGTGATCTTGACCAATAGTTCTCTAGGCTCAAGAAATAGGAAAAGGCTTTCCAAAAAAACAAGGGAAACAGGAAGAATAGACAGAGGTAAGGACAGAGGCTCAACAGTGACCTCCTTATACACGGGAGAGGTTCGGTCATGGTTTGGGCCTGCCTTTCAGCCTGTGATGTTGGGGGACTTGTCAGAATTGATGGAATCAATGAAAACATATACTTTCAGATTTTGATCTACCATGCAGAACCATCTGGAAGGATTTGACTGGCAATGGTGTCATTTCTCAACACAACAGTGTTTCTAAACAAACATACCTGGATAGAAAAAAACGAACAAGCATGAAATATAAAGGTGGTCGTACCAAATATTTACTTCAACCTTGGTAGAACTGGGAGACTTGTAGAATTGGACAAACTCTGGGTTTTGCCTTATTCAATGTATTTCTATGTATGAATGCACAATACATAAATTGCTGCTCTTATTCACCTTTTTACTGGCAAAATAAAAGAAGTGAGGGGTCCGTTCAGACTTTTGGCCATGTGAAGAGCGATTGTCATTTCTGCTTTGAATTTCCTAGAATACAATAAGATATTAGCATTTCAAAAACTTTATGACATCTCACTGTAAAGAACAGTGTGTAGATATCCTTATCCTGACAACACTGACATCTCTAACAGAGGGTTTCGCTGTGGGTTTGTACTGCACATTCCAAATGTATGCATAACATCAAATACAATCTTGTTTTTCTTTCAATAGATACTTCTTGGACAGAAAAGAGGAAGGTATAAATTATTTCAGAGTCGACGAATACAGTGGAGTTATATATACAACACTGCCCCTGGACAGGGAAGATATGCCTTGGCACAACATCACTGTTATGGCTTCGGAGGTTGGTAGGTATCCAGGTTGCTTTCCGTATACAAAATGTTTACAAGAGTAAGTAAATGTAATGCCACTGGTACATCTGTTTACTCTTATGTGAATGTTCATGAGTGGGTAGTGGTGATACCAGCTGTATTTTGCTATGCTTCATCTTAACAAAGCTTATATGAAAAAACAACTTGCCTTTTCTTGTAGCCCTACAATTTCAGGTAGTTAATTAAAGTTTAATTTTACACTTATAGTATTTAACAAAGTGGATTTTTTTTGTTTCATAAATCCATAAAAATTAAATGTACTGTTTGTTAAAGGTATATAAGCAAATTGGGAGATGCACTGCACATAATGAACTGAACAGTCATAAACACTTGAAAATGCTGTAATGCATTCGGTTGAAAGAGGCACTCAAGAGATTGATCAATCTTTCCACTCCTGTTTTGTTTTGCCTCAAGCTAATAAGAGACATTATGAATCAGAATCGCATTCAAATTATGGTTGAGTTCTGTGCCATGACAGCAAGATGATTCAAAAAGCAGAAATTACAAAATAGGTGTGTGCTGTAGTTCTACCCCGAGTTTGTTTTTTTCTTAAATGCTCTCCCACCAGATAACAAGACACCCTGCGGGGATCATATACTCAGACAGAGGGTAAAATTGGAGTCCAAATCAATATCACCAAAATAAAAGGTTCCAAAAGGAATGAGCACATGAATCTGCACTGAGCAGCTTCCATTTATCTACTGAGCAAAAAAATGTAGATAATCATATTTGAAGGTGCATCAGTACAGTGTATGTTAATGGACACTTTCATTGATGCAGATTTGTAGCAGTTATTTAATTTTCTATATTAAATGTTTGGAAAGAATACAAAAACACATTATGTACTATAAGTTTGTCAATACTTGTTCTATCCAGTTAATAAAATCATATTATGGCTCACAGGTGTACCAACTTCTAAATATATAAAATCTTATATTCCTCTTATTTTGACATGCAGACCATAAATGTGTGTTATTTGAGCTATGCTGCAAAAATGAAATGTAATTTGAATGGTAAATAAAAAGGGAAAATTATTTTTTTAATCATCATTAAGAAAACTGCTTAAAGTCAAGTAATTAAAGTTTTGTAGTTAAACAAAAAAGGTGTGCAGTCTGTGGACTGTTTATATTTTATCCACGTTTAACTCAGTGCGCCAAGAAGCCTAAATGGGATTATTAACAGCAATACAAAAATAATCAACAGATTTAAACAGTCCAATGTAAGTAATGGAATTAACAGTCTGAGGACTTGAGAAAACAACAGTGAAGGATAATATTTGCATATTGATTAGAATGTGGAGTATAATTTTTTCTTTTAATTAACTAAAAAAATCAAATTAGTCTCAATTGTTTCAATGTCCTTTCCTGCAGTGAAAATTAATTAAATCAATACATGCCCCTCTAACTCCAATTGCTATCAGGTAACTTGGATAATTTGTAATCACAATTAGGCAAATCTCTTGCCAGGCGAGTGGGATTCTGAATGCTAATGTTTCTTTTAACTTCTGTTTAGTATTCAAGGATACAGTTACATGCCAAGACACTGTCAAAAGGCAGAATGATAAATTTTTACCTCTTTGAATGAGCAAGGACACAGTGTCATCGAGACAAAGCACCAAACAGTTCACTGTGAACCATCCTGTAGAGATTTTATCCTGAAAAGGCGTGGGAATAGATGGACTGTCCAAACTGAGAAAGTGAATTAGAGGATGAACGTGTGATAAAATAACATTTTAGTGTTTGGGGGTTTAAATTGGTAGTTTATGGTGGAAATATTGTTTTGGAATACCATTGGTGCAAAGTCAAATCTTCAATAGGTGGTGAAAAAAATGCTGCACAAGATAAAGTAAATAAAGATGCAGGAGCATTCATTTAAATCAAAGACATGAACACCTGCGTTAACTTTGTGTATGTATACATATATATATATACACACACACACATATATATGTATATATTTTTTTTTCTTTCACTGAAGGTTCTGCTGAGGAAGCATGCTATTTTTCAGCACTGTTCTGCTACAGTCATAATGTAAAACATACTCGCACCTGGAAGCTACAAAACAACTCTTCTGTCAGTGACAGAGGAGCTGCAGGCTGCTGAGGTTAACTAGATTGCTCAAGGGCCCTTGCTGTGGGGCCAGAGAAAAATTACATGTGACCTGTATACTCCCAGTCATAAGAGTAGCTCAATCTGCCATTTTTAGACACTTGCATTATGACAGTACATTTAGCCCTGCTTCTTTTTTTTTCTTCTTTTTTTTCTTTTTTTTTTTTTGTGCTTAGTACTGATGCTGGTCTTCTTAGGTCATAAAAGCCTATTTCTTAGACAATTTTGCACTCTTGGACCTGTAACATCCTGTAAATACTAATGTTCTTCACATTACACAGATAGTAAAAAAATGTTTCACTAAATTGAGTTTAAAAATTAACCACTGAGTATATTTTTTAATCTTGCAAACTGAATATTTTGCATGTGAGATGGGTCATGTATTATAACCAAGAACTACAACTGAAAAAAAAAGCCATGCTTATATCAATTTTAATAAACAAAGTTGATTTGTGCAGCATTGCACCCGCAGTGCTTTTATAATGACAAACCGACAGACAAAACCCATAAACACTCTAACAGGAAGAGCACGCCATGCCCTAGTTTGAAATGTTGAATGTTTCACTTTGCTATTAAGGTTCACGCTTGGCTTTTATCTCTTTTGTCTCTTTTTCTTTTCTTTCTCTGCTTCAGACAATCCCAGCCTTCTCAGTCACGTTCCTGTAACTGTTCAGGTGCTCGACGTGAATGACAATCCACCAGAAATAGCAACAGATGAGGAAGTTATTGTCTGTGAGAGCTCAAGGCCGGGACAGGTAAGTGTCGGGGACTCGCCTAGAAAAACACAAAAACACCTATTTCCGTTTTCCTCTTCATCTCTGACTTCAAACATTAAAACATTCCTTCAAGTCAAAAACACCTCAGAAGTAAAGTGTTGAGCGCTGTCCATTAAGCACAGTCATTTCCCTGACTACATGAATTCTGCACCGAACTGTTGTTTCCCTCAGCAGTTCGGGTTGCTCACCGAGAGCTGAGCAATAAGAGACTGCGAAGGCACTGGAGAGAGCTGCTTAATCATCCCTCATTCAAAATGAGTATCTCAGCAGCAAACCATGACAGCTCTAAATCGAAGCTCATTCCAATTTGCGCTCAGTAGTCTTTGATTCATTCAAATTAAGAAGGTTTTTGAGATACAGCGCGATCAGCAGCATGGAAAATGGCTGAAAGGCTGCTTCGGCAAAGGATGACGAAGTAAAGACTAGGAAGACACAACTAAATACATTTTTAATAGTTTTGAGCTGTTGGAAGAAAAGTTTGAAGAAAAGTTCGAATGAAAGTTTGTATTAAATTTGTATTAAGGTTACATTGTTGCCCGAGGGTTCTTGGCTCAGGGGATTAACTGGTAAGTATTATAATGCACTGAACGAGACAGCAGGATACCACTATTCAGTAGACAATGCATTTAAAAACTGAGCTTCTCATTAATGTTTTAAAATATATTTGTATTTCTTTTTAATACCACAGCAATTAGATTCTTTTCTTTTTAATTTGTTGGAAGATAACAATCAAAATTTTGACACAATACCTCTTGCCAATAAAGAAGTAACATTTTATCACACCTATATTTAGTTACATATATAAGTTATATTTAGTGGTACACTGTAAATGGTTGGGAACTGGTTCTTATATAGTTCTTTTTTACTAACTGAGCACTTTTTTGCCTTTTACGGGGCATTTAAGTTTAAGCAGATTTTTTTTAAAGCTTGAGGTGTCCCATGGTTAAAATAAAAAAATGAGTTACTGTTACAGCAATACTGGCCAATTGCTAAAGGAGTAAAAATGCTTGACTTTTGTATAAGTGACCTCGTGTGTTTAACACATTTATTAGACCAATAACAAAACACAAATATTTTAGAAACATGTTGAAAATTAAAAATTACATTCAGCTACTAAGACACTTGTTTTCTGTTTGGGGCTTATAGTAATAATAATTGAAAAAGTAATAATGTTCTTTACTATTTTTTGGCTTTTTTTTTGTAAAACTGTATATTTGAAAATCCACGAATGGCAACAATAATTACATCTTAGCATTAGAAATGTAATTTAAATTAAAGAGCTTCCACATACTGGTGGATTAATCATTGCATAAACATGAAGCACGAGTTTAGTAATTAGCAGTACTTTTAATTTAGTGCAGCTGTGGCATAAACCTTACATTAGGTGGAGGTTAAGCAGTGTACATGTGCAACTTTTAGAAAAGCAGGGATGATAACACTTTTCAAGATGGGCTGTTTAGTTTTATAGGTGACTATATAATACTATATATATGTATAATTTGACATTGTGACATGTAGGATTTATTTATTTATTTACACTAAACTAATTTACTAATTAGATCAAAGATCACTGGACATGTTCAGCCCAAAAGATGCCTACAATAAGAGCTGATTGTCACTATCTGCCAAACAATGGATTAATGGAAGACAAATTTGCACCCGCTATCAAACCATGCAGACATTTTCATGCTGACTGCAAATTGTATAGCTCCATCTTGTTCACAAACATCCCACTGAGTTTTAAGAATGATCTTTTTAGCATGTGTCTTTTTTCCCACACTGATTAAAACAACAGCAATTAGAACTTAGCTTTTGAGCCCTTAGAAGAAAGAGCTCCGCTCCACTCAGCCACTCTGTCAAGCATGACATCCACATAAGTACAAATAGACACAAAGGACAGAGGCTTGAGCAAGTGCACCAGGAGAAGAAGAAAAAAATGCCCCCGATCTCACACTTTAAACTTTTTCTCGGTTATCAGGTCATTGTTTTCTCACCTCACAATCTCTCCTCGCTCTCACTGTGTCTTTTACCAATTAAGCGTAGTAATCTGACAGAAGTGGCAGTAAGGTTGCCCCGAGAGCACGTCTTTCATTGTGAGATTCCAGCTCCCCGTTGCACAAGCCAAACGCTTTCAGATGCAAGTGTGACAACTAGATAGTCTCCTTCGAGCGCCGCACGCAAGTAAAGAAAAAAATAGTTACACGAGCATTTGGCTGTAGGTCAGAGGCACTCTTGACTGTGACTAATTATGATCAACAAATCACAAGACATGCTGGAGAAACTAAATCAGCTCCTTGTCCTCTGTGCAATCAGAGTTAGTGTTTCAAAGCGGTGTGGCAGATAATTAAATGTTGCAGGTGTCGTCGCTGGAACGTGATTTATCCTTTGTCTTGTGAACAACAGGTGATCCAGACTGTCACAGCAGTGGATAAGGATGACTTTGCCAACGGACAGCGGTTTTCCTTTGCTTCGCCAAGCCAGCTACCAGTTAATCCCAACTTTACCCTTAAGGACAATGAAGGTAATCAAAGTGATCAATATGTTTGTTTGCATTCCTTATGAGTTTTGCACTCTGCCTACGGAGATATCCTCATTGCTCACGCTTCGAGATCCAATAAGCTGCACTGATATTCCTGCACCTTGGAGGTGCAATAAAAATATTCTCTCTGTCAGCTGGGTATGGTAAGCATCTGAAGACTCAAATGCTGCCAGTAGTACCTACTGTGAGTCAGGTTTGCATGAAACATAAGCATCATAGAGGGTTGGCATGTTTGAGCATTGTGTTGTCAAATGGATTACCTGCTCAGGCACTCTCTTTCCACCTCCTGTGTGCATTATTTTGTTCCAGCCCAGGGCCAACAGTGGGTGTTACCATGGCAACAATTTCAGTCTTAGGGGGATACCTAGCCCTGGGTTGGTCTGCAATCACAGGGCTTTTAAAAGCTCTCAGTCTGAAGATCTCACCGTTTCCCACTGAGAAGAGGAGTTCACAGCACTCCAGAAGAATCTCTGAGCCAGAGAGGGCCATAAAAACAGAGAGGAAGGTAGTATGAGAGAGATCAAAAAAAATCAATGTGATAACCAGAGATGAGTCTGTTTAGCCCTTGGTCCAGTTACTTCCCACCACAAGAATTCCCTTGCCTACTTCAACTACATTAAAGTGCAGAGGGAAGTTTTGCTGCATTCATGTAAGTGGCACTCAAAGACATCCCTCACTCCCTGCCCACCTCCACACCTAAGGGGTACATAAATCAAACAGGGCAAAGATCGACTTTAGCACTGCTCCAAAAAACATTTCAGTGGATACACAGTATAAGTAGTTAATTTGGCGCCTGTGTTTTTTTTTTAGCAGTTTTACACATGACATGCATACAGAGCAGCTCTGCAGTCAGCTATTGAACCTACAGATAGTGGTGTTTTCAGAGGAAGCCAGAAAGTTTGAGGTTGCTATAAATCCTACAACTGTTTTAGATATGTCGGTGTGTGTGTGTGTGTGTATGTGTGTGTGTAACTGTCCTGGAAAAACACTTGTTAAATATAGTTCTTATTTTTGTCACTTTAAAGGGTATGAAGACATACACCTCCACTGTCACAAAAACATCTCTTGCTGATTTGCCATATGCTGTGTTGAAGTGACCATATTTAGCGTTTTTTGCGTTTTACCTTAGGGTGTTACATTCCTTTTTTGTGCACATTAAAAGCCTGCCAGGTAATAAAGCCCGAAGTTTTCGGCAAAGGGAGGAAGCGGTGCAGACAAACTGCCTGCAGGGCTTCATTAGGAGTATATAATTTTCTTCCTCCAAATGTTGTGAGCAAACAAGTTTTCCTGGCTTCACTCTTGGCATCTGAGTTACTGAAACAGCGCAGTGGATTAATTTTATTTTTGATGGCACTCTTCAGTGTTGGCACCTTGTGCGGTTAATGTGGTTAAAGTATAAGCTGAAATTTTATGCCCATACCTAAACAAAATTGAAAGAAAGTGATCTAGAACTACAACAGTACTATATAGGTTCTGCTTTGGGCCATGTTGCTTCTCTCTAGTTTTATGACATGTGGCTTGGTTGTTTAGTAGTCTTGTGTTTGGGCCAGTTCCTGTTTGGAACAAAGGATTAAACTTAGCTCTTGGAGTTGTACTAAACATGCACCGATTACAAAATGTTCTTGGCTGATTTCAAATATACTCTTAGCGTGACTTGCCTATACCAATTTCACTGATTTCAGTTTTATTTCTAAGAAACAGTAACTGACAGCATATATGAACAAAACTCAACTTCTTCTCCGTGGAAACTTTTTCATAACAAAGACATTATTCAAATTAACAATTTCCCCCAAACTCCAGTAACTTACAGGATCTTCTCTCACTCTCACAACTGACAAAATATTGTTATCCTACTGAAAAGCAACATAGATAAGGATCTGAAAATGAATTGCTGTACACCTGCCTTTACCTCGTGTATTTTACCTCACCGATCAAAAGCAGGTGCATCAGATTTATACAACTAAACTAATGTCAGATTCTGTCACACATCATTTTCTAATATGTTTATAACTTCAGTGCTTCAAAGCTAAGTTCTTCTCATGACTCTAGAATTTTTATTCATAACATCTTTCATCTTTAACTGTTCGCTGCTGGCTTGTGGCTGATTCTGAGCTCTCGATAGCTTTAGTGTTAGCCACTTTTGTTAGCTTGTTTGTTAGCTTGATTAAACTGTCCATGTTAAGTGTCTCAGTAGGTTACAAATGTTTTTCGACTGGTTTACTTGTGCAAACTTTGTTTCTTTGTTCACTTTCGCGCTAACAGCGTAGCATGGATCTGTGAGTGTTTGCGCGACTGTTTACCTCTGTCACAGTGCACATTTTCCATGTATTGGATCGCTTGTATGAAAGGGTGACCAGCCAGTCACTAATCCGAGCTTTAAACACTGGAAATCAGTTGATTCTGGTCAACTGATGTTCCTGAGATGCACCTGGGAGACAGAGGAGAAAGGACACTTGTCAAAGGAGCTATTATTAATTTAAATTTCTTTGTGGAAGTGTTTTTGTATTACCCTCCAGGTAATACACTGGAATATGCCAAACACAGTGGGAGGGTGTCTCTTTAAACAACTCATTATTATTAATATTGTTATTGTTAACATTATTTATTAATGCAAAGCTAAGAAAAGGGACAACATTAAGCTGTCACAGTGAGACAGTAATTCTTTGCTTTTCTTTGTTTTGTTTTTATTGTGACAGGGGTATTTTATGGTTTTGAACTTTAGAAATAAAGTGATGCTCTTCACAGCAGAGAGTATCAAAGTGTAAATGCATAGTGAGGTGAAAGGGGCAGTCAACATTTTCTTTGGTGCCTGCTTCACTGTAAAAGTTTAATCCAGTGATTTACAGACCTTTGGTCCTGGCAGCTTTTCTGTGTAGGGATAAAAGCTCCTGATAGGGTATAACAGGGTAAATTGGTTTCACGTTACAGATAAGAGTGATTCAAAGCCCTTCTTGGATCTGAGTCTTTTGAAAGATCTGCTTGTATTAGGGAAACCAGGGCATCCTCCTGGAGCCAGGTGTTAGAGGCTAGTGCTTCATGGGTAATGCATGCCTGTGACTATAAGATAGGCGAGGACTGCATCATTCAAGTTTTTTAAAGCTTTTGAAAATCTACACGTCCAGTCCACATACTCATCATTTGAAAATATTTCTCACTCTTGCAAAATGATTCTTTCAAAAGTTCCTAGATTTATTATAACAGAACCGTCTGCAATAAAATACTCCCAAAGCATTAAATAAAAGGAGCTCTTCATTCTTGAAGGATCGATGGCAAGAGTTAGGGTTTTTTTCATGCTGTTTGAGTAATAGTGCTTTTCATTTTAGATTTCGTTGAGATTTGAGTGCATACCATCTCAGAGGCTCTTGGTTTTTGACATAGTAGATCTTTTATATAATCCCATAAAGGATCACCCAATTATGTGTTATGGCATGGAAAGAGTTTTTTTTAGAGATACATTATACCAAAAGGAAGAAAATCACATTACACGTTATACAATAATCATAATTTGTAACTTTCAAACCTCCTAGTATTTCCCCATTATGTTAGCATAGAAGTACTAATGACTATCTTAACTCAAGATGTGCAGTTGTCCAGATGAAGGGTTGACACCTCCGAGTTCTCTCGGAAGCACATGTGCTTCTATTCCCACATGGCATTGAGCTTACCATTTGGCACTTTCTGATCTTTTAATTCGCTTGCCTACTCATTTATACTACAATTCCTTGTCCACTTAGAATGATTCATATCACCTTTTCTTCTAAAGTCGTCTCTCATCTGCATAAATTGCTCTCTGAAATGTTAAGCTGCTGGACTCAGAATTCATGTGGTTTCAGTTCGCTCAAATATCAGAGCCTACATGTGCCGCACTCAGAAAATGGTGTCAAAAACATATGCGTAGCTTTTTGCTTGCACTCTGTGTTAGAAGGTATCTGCCTGCTCACGATATATGAGTGAGAGTGAGAGCGAGGCACAGTGAGCCATACTGTTGACTCCACTGTCTGATAATTAAAGTAAGCTCTTCACACTCAAAGCAGCTTCTTTCATTTCTGTTGTAGCAGACCAACAGTTGGTAGCAGCTCTCTGCCAAGGCCTAATACCCCCCTCTGTTGTTGTGCAACTGATGAAAATCCCTCTCAGTCACTCACACGGCTAACTCTCTCATGACCTCCTTTCCGTCTCAGTTACCATTTGCACAATGGATCGCCATGAAACGTGAATTACGGTGGCTTTGTGCCCAGATTTTTGTGTGAG